AACACGAGGTGAACGAGCAGTACTGTTGAAATGTGGATGTGGGTAGGGTTGAGCCTTTGTCGGTGTGGCATTGGACCTGGATGATGATGATGATGCTTTGTCCCCATGCCTCCCATTGGCCTCAGGCTCCTGGATCTTTTCATCCAGTTTGTTGAGCTTGGAAAGTACCTGGGATATTTCACTGCGAACCCCCGACAGAGACTCCAACTTCTTCTCAATCTCACCAATTCTCCTCACAAGCTTACACACGCTTGTTTTGAGCTCATCATCAGTGTTTTCAAGTGAATGGAACAGGCGGTCTACCTTAGACTTGGCTAATTTGATTGTGTTGCATTCAGGGGAGCTGTCGCCTTCTGACTTTAATGTTACCTGAGAGAGAGACCCATTACTATTGTAACATGATGACTGAACAACGCCCAGAGAGTCACAAACACTCATATCATCCAGAAAACGAAAAATATCACTTATGTCATCACTAATGACCTCGCACTCCTCAACTGAGCGTTTCAATCTCTCGCTGTCGTTATACTTGGATTGGTATTCTTTTAGCTTCTTCTGTTCAATCCGCTCAGTTTGTGTTCCAACACTAGAGGCGCTTTCCCCTTCTTGAAAGGATGCATTCTTCGTATTTTTGTCCCCAAACCTTTTGGTTACGTCTCCATTGTCCAGACCTCCAGGTCCCCTACCCATCAGCGATATATCCTTGGGTTTTATTTCAGTACTTTTCTTTGCAAAGCCCGGTGACGCTGACACCTTTTGCATCGGGGTGTGAAAATATTGCTCACTCTCACTGGTAATAATGTTACACTGATGATTTTCTTTGAGTGGTCTGCTGCTTTGAAAAATCCTTTCTGAAACAGGAGGGCCCTCTTCTGCGTTGAGACTGAGGCTCTTCATGGGCCATACTGGCTGTTTCCCGGCTTTGTTAATGTGCTTCTTACTACTAACACACTCAGAGACGGTGGTTGGACCAAAATAAGTTGACACCTGTAAGTCATCCAGGCTCTCGTGCTTCACCCTCCGCCTGTCCTGTAGGGGGGAGTTAAGTGGCGGTTCAAAGTATGGGTTACTGTAGGGCAGCTCGAAGCTACGGTTGAAGAAGGTAGCAGGCTTACGTAACTCCCTATTGTGGTATCCTTCAGCAGCCTTGCTGCCCTGTTTGCACTCACTGGTGATGACCTGCAACAATAACCAAGACAAAGATGGAGTCGGCTTAAAGGCACAATAATGCAGCAATTATTACTCATAACTCGGGGATTAAGAAAGTTTAGAATCATGAAATAACACAATACTACAGAGAAATCTGGGCAATGACTGATTTATAAAATACAAATGGACTAATTTGATCTTCGTTTAGAGAATCTAGTCACATCATCCATTATGTTACTATTTGTTAGCATATGAATCAACTTTAATTACAAGACAATAGAGGTGTCAGGAACATCTGTCTCAATAAACTGTACAAAACCGTATACAAAACATTTTTTGTCACAGTCCTGAGTCGGTTCGACCCAGCATTTTGAGTTTCTTATGTTTTAGTTTATTTTTGCATTATGGATCATTTCTTATTCTCTGGTGATACTGTTTTGATTATAATTATGTTCTGTTCCTTTAGCTATCCGATGATGATGATGATGATTATTTCTGGTTTAGGTCTTGCTATTTTGCCCTCATGTTTAGTTTAGGTTGCCTGTGCTTAGTCTTCTCTGCCCATATGTACCTCTGTCTGTCCGTGGTGTCTTGTCTGGTCCTCTGTGTCTGTTAGTTTCCTGTTTTATTCTGAAGGTCCTTGTCTTATGTGAGTGTGTTCAGGTTTCCCCTGCCTCGTCAGTTGTGATTTTCCCCAGGTGTTTTCCCCTCCTGTCTCTCATCCCTTGATTACT